ATGTATGTATGTATGTATGTATGTAATGTATGTAATATGTATGTATGTATGTATGTATGTATGTATGTATGTATGTATGTATGTAATGTAATGTAATGTAATGTAATGTAAGGTAATGTAATGTAATGTAATGTAATGTAATGTAATGTATGTATGTATGTATGTATGTATGTATGTAATGTATGTATGTATGTATGTATGTATGTATGTAATGTATTGTATGTATGTATGTATGTATGTATGTATGTATGTATGTATGTATGTATGTATGTATGTATGTATGTAATGTATGTAATGTAATGTAATGTAATGTAATGTAATGTAATGTAATGTAATGTAATGTAATGTAATGTATGTATGAAATGTATGTAATGTAAGTATGTATGTGTGTATGTAATGCAATGCAATGCAATCCAATGTAATGTAATGTAATGTAATGTAATGTAATGTAATGTATGTATGTATGTAATGTATGTATGTATGTATGTATGTATGTATGTATGTATGTATGTATGTATGTATGTATGTGTGTTATGTATGTATGTATGTATGTATGTAATGTATGTATGTATGTATGTATGTATGTATGTATGTATGTATGTATGTATGTAATGTATGTATGTATGCAATGTATGTATGTATGTATGCATGCATGTATGTATGTATGCATGTATGTCTGTAAGCATGCATGTATGTATGTATGCATGCATGTATGTATGTATGCATGTATGCATGTATGTGAGTATGTAAGTAAGTAAGTAAGTAGGTAAGTAAGTAAGTAAGTAAGTAAGTAAGTAAGTAATGTAATGCATGTAATGTATGTACGTATGTATGTATGCATGCATGCATGCATGCATGCATGCATGCTTACATACATGTATGCATGTATGTATGTATGTAATGTATGTATGTATGTAATGTCATGTAATGTCATGTAATGTAATGTACTGTAATGTATGTATGTATGTATGTATCCTTGCACTTCCCCTTTGCTCCCCAGTATTTCCCGCAAAAAAAAACACGGTTTTTCCAGCGTTTTCGCAAAGAGGACGTCCAAAAAACATCGAGTTTTTCCAGATTTTCGGCAAAAGGATGCAGGAAGCCCAAGCCAGCAAAAAAGCCGGCAGGGGGAATCGAGCCTGGGACCCCTGTTTTGCGACACCGGCTCCCCGAAGACTACGTTTAGTGGAACGTCATCAAATTGCCGCGCGGTACGTGGGGGACCCCCCCCCCCTCCCCCGTACGATGGACAGTTGGAGTCTATATTGCAAGCACCTGTGGTCATGTCCTTCTAGGAAGAAGCAACTTGCTTGCAAAATAGACGCCAGCCCGCCCGCAAAATAGACGGTCAAGAAGCCCGCAAAATAGCCTGTCAAGAAACTTGGCTCGTCAACTGACGAGCCCGCACACGCCGCCGAACAACTTGCTGGGCCCAACCTCTTGTGCTATTGCCAGCCCGGGCAGCAGAAAAAAACACCTGAAAACTAAGTAGGTATTCATCGCTTGTCGCAGCTAGACTCGCTCGCTTTGATTGGCTGAGCCACGGAATGTTTCTTTGCATGTGGTAAGGTAACCTTGGAGGCATCCATATCCACAGATGTATGCATGTCCGCTTAGAGAAGGAGAGGGTAACTCACGCTGTAAGTGGTCATACTTGCTGCACAGGCTGGACTTGCTGGACTTGCTAGGCCCGCTGGACCCGCTGGAATTGGTGCGCCCGCTGAACTTGCTAGGGCTGGACCCGCTGGACTCGCTGGACTCGCTGGACTCGCTGGACCCGCTGGACCCGCTCGCTGGACTTGCTGGACTCGCTGGACCGGCTGGACCCGCTGGACTCGCTGGACTCGCTGGACCCGCTGGCTCGCACTGGACTTGTGCGCCGCTGGACTCGCTGGACTCGCTGGACTCGCTGGACTTGCTGGACCCGCTGGACCCGCTGGACCCGCTGGACCCGCT